AGTTTCTACATTCATCTACAGCTACAGGGAAATTCATAATGGATATGAAAATCCTGGATGGTTCTCCAGCTAGACGAGCAGCGCAGGTTCCCTGATCATAATCTTTACCGGTGTTCCAGTTTGCACAGGACTCCATTAGTCAGGCCAGTATAATTGGGATTCCTTATGTATTTGTCAGTGCAGAGCTGAGGCAGTTTTTTACCTCACGCTTTCTCTGGAAACTCACCTTCATGGGTGCATGTAACAGGCTAATGCTATGTTGGGGATTCTTCCCTTTATTGTATCTGAAACTGTGCAAGGCAGTATTGTCAGAACAGACTGTCAATAGCAGTGATTTTTTTCCTTTCCCACTCTGTCTTACTACTGGTGTTATACGAGAAACTTGTAACATTTGTACTTTACATGTGTGACATGGTGTCACAGATAGTATACAAACAGACCGCACTATCCAGAGAATTCCAATACTTCAGACTTTATTGAAATTCCTAGCAAATCCAGTACATAAAGTGAATAAAAGTGTATAAGTGAAAGTGAATAGGCCTACGGGTGAAACATGTGAGAGGTTGTAGCTGGTTGGGGGTGTGCAGTACTGGCATTTGTTGCTTTATACACTTTTATTCACTTTATGTACTGGATTTGCTAGGAATTTCAATAAAGTCTGAAGTATTGGAATTCTCTGGATAGTGCGGTCTCTTCGTATACTACTACATTCCCAGGGATCCCAACCTGAAAGAAGCAATTTCAGGGAGGTGTCCCTCTCATTTCAGGGAGGTGCCCTCCACCCATCCGCGGAGGGGGGTTTAGGGGGGGAGCGTCCGGGAGAGTTGGGATGTCTGCATTCCAAGGTGGAGACGCACCTATTGGACCAGCACCTGGGGAGTCCTGACTGTGGCTAAGGAATTGAAGTGGTGAGATTTCCTTTGGCTCTACATGGTGTCACAGATGTTTCTGGTTCCCCAAGTTACAAAAGGATGTACATTATAGGGCAGGGGTGTGGAACCACCGGCCCTCCAGTTGTGGTGAAACTACAAATCCCATGAGGCATTACAAGATTCTACCAGCCACAGGAATGACTTCCAGGGACAGATGCATCATGGGATTTGTAGTTTCACTGCAGCTGGAGGGCTGGAGATTCCCCACCCCTGTTATAGGGCCTCTGAGTGTTGCTATGGTGACTCGTACTTGCTTATACTTTACGCAAGTTAGCCACACGGGGGAGCTCTCCTTTTTCTTTCTGCTCAGGCTTGCTAGGTAAAAACTATTACACTTTATTTTCCCGGACTCCTGATGATGCCACATTCACTCAGAAAGGAGCAGCGGCGCTCATGAAAGTTATAGAGTGGACGGGCACTGGTGACACTTTGTTTGGCCTTTACTTATATCTCTGGCAATCAGATGTGGGGGTCACTCTGCCTAAGCAAGTGCACTGCAGGACCTGGTCTTATTTGGCTTTTGTGTCAAGGGGGCTACTGTTGTCTGGTTCAGCTTTCTTTTTTTTAAATCTTTATATTTGTTTTTGCAATATAACAGAATAAACATAAGACAATAGCACTAACACAGTGATATATCAACAGTACATTACACTATAGCAGACATCCCAACTCTCCCTGACGCTCCGGGAGTCTCCCACTATTAGATAGTGGCTCCCGGCTGCCCGGGAGAGAAACATTTTCTTTCTTTTCTCTCATCGGAGCCGTGGGCCGCCCTCAGTCAGAAAAAAAACCAGCATAGGAATGCATAGCTAGATTCCTATTAGCTATTTCATTTTGCAATAGACAATAGCAAACTAGTTATTCCACCCGCCCACTGCTGCTGTCAATCAGCAGAGGGGAACCTGAAGTTCTCCATCAGGTCCTCTTCTAGGGATTGACAACAGCAGAGGGCAGGTGCAATAGCCAGCTTGCTATTGGATATTGCAAATTGAAATAGCCAAAAGCAATCCAGCTATGCATTCCTGTTTTTTTTTGTTATTTTTTATTCTGACGGCAGCAGGTGTCAGAATACTAAAAAAAAAACCCCCTGCAGATAGCAAAGAAGCTATTGCTACCTGTGCTATCTGCCATCATTTCAGGGGGGCGGGGTGGAGAGCATCCCACCCTGCAGAAATATATCCTAATAGGGAACATCTCCCTGGCAATTATGATAGTTTCCAGTAAAAAAGTTAGGGTGTAAAATACCGATGTGAGACTGGGCTTAATCTAATATTATATTAGGGTGTTGTTGTTGCAAATTGAAGGGGAGCCATGAAGCTCTATCGGTTTTAGTATAATACGGCTAGTTCGTAGGTAATTCTTTATGCTATGTTAAGTATGGGAAATGAGTGGGGATGAGAGAGTAATGTTATTCTTCGATGTATGTTGTTTTATAAGAAAGTAATATGTTTAAATGTTTTGTTATGTCTTGATGAAAAACAATAAAAACATTTGAAAGTTAAATTTGCCCGACCCCATCCTGTTTAGGACATTTTGCGCAACATGTCAGTCACTAGATACAGCGCACACGGGGTCTCAGGAGAGCTGTGCATGGTTAATGGTGGGCTCCCTTTCCTTGCATACCTGTGCTGCTTCTCTTACCTGCAGCTCGAAGTGCCACCTGTACCAACAGGATACATTGCAGTCCCCAGCCTGCTTCTGCGACATCCCATCAGATCACATGCTCTGGCCAGCCCCGATCAACCCGCTGCTTCTCCTCCACCTCCTGTACAAAGCCAGCCGGACCGCATCTCACTGGGCAGCTCTCTTAATTAGGAGTGGCCACCTAGTTTGCCTCATTAAGGCGCTGCTGCCTGATTCTGTGCCGCCCAGCCTCGGCCCACTGGGCAAGAGCCCGGAATGGCCAAAGGCAAGTCCAGCCCTGTCCGCCTCATTGGTTTGGGGCAGTGTTTTCTGCTGCCCCCCTGGAAAGTGCCACCCTAGGCAAATGCCTAGTTTGCCTTGCGGTAGATACACCCCTGCCTTTGACCCATGGGTCATTACCTTCCCCTTTCTTCCATCCTCTGCTAAATCGGACATGCTCAACTTCTCTGGTTCAGGTTGTATCCTCTGAGGGCTTGTTCACACCAAAATGCTGTGCGTTCCAGAGCGGTAGCTGCTGGAACACACCACAATCCCTCACAAAACTTCCCCCTGCACTCTGGGGCGTGGCTGTGCATTGAACTCAATGGCACCGCTTCCATGCCCCCCCCCCCGCAGTGCGATTGGAAGCATGGCAAAACTTCCGTTCCACTGCAAACACGAAAATGCTGCTTGTTCTATATTTTGCGTTACAGTTCAGGGTTTTTTCTTAGGGAGTGCATCTGTCCTTACCCTATAGCAAGTCTGTTTTTTTTTTTTTCTGCAGCTGTGTCTGGACCTCAGCACTTTTGAGAGCCAGGTTTCAGCCCAGTTAATCTTTTTTTTAAGAGACTGTAGGTCTCTTTCACTACTTAAAAGAGCTATGATGTGAGTGATTTTCACTCAACCTTAGTTCGAGCGGACGTGTGACAATGAAACTGTCACACGCTGGCTCAATAGATCTCGATCATGTCCCTGCAGAGAGCCGTGACTGTCACAAAAAGGCTCCCTGCCGGGATTCCCCCGCCCCCCCCCAGCGCTGACTGGCAGAACGGACAGGGGAGGGTACAGCTGGCTCTGCCTCCAAATAGTCAGAGCCAGCTGTCACTCACACAGCTGGGTGGATCTCGACAGTAATGTCTGGATCCGTCCCGGCTGCAGCAGTCTCAATAGAACACGAGCTGTAGCTCACGATATATACTGAGCTTTGGGTCATGGGAGGACGCTAGTTTATGTCCTCCCGTGACCCTTAGGAGAACTATGGGGCAAAACACTGACCCCATAGTTCTCCTTTAAGTTAGAACTTTATAAAGGGAGTCTCCCGTGTAGCTCCATGGGATCTGAATCTGGTTCTCTCTGAATCATCATGTGAACTACCATCTCTACTAGGCAAGTGTTTAAACTGGCAGCCTTATCCTTCATTGGCTCTTTTGAGGTATAGACAGTCTCCAGTTTTCTGTTGTCTTTTCTTCGGCCGGCTAGCCTTTGTTTCTATGTTGCCCACCCTTCTGTTGGGCTGCTCTTGGACATCCTGACAGTCTAAGAATTCCTGGGTCCCTCAATAGATGAAAAAAAAATAGGATTTTTGTACTCAATGTAAAGTCCTTTTCTTGGAGTCCTTTGAAGGACACAGGTACCTCCCCTCAGAGTTCATTTGATGCTCTTGGTAGTACTTTGCTACAAAGCTGAGTCATGATAATTGGGGGTGGTGTTACCCTGTGCTGGCCAATTGCTTTTTTAATTGCCAGTGTCCATTTCCTTTAAGTGGGAGTATAACCTGACACTCGAAGAATTCTAACAATTTCTGTGTCCCTCAATGGACCCCAAGAAAATGATTTTAAGGTGAGTAGAAAAATCCTATTAAAAAAAAAAAAAAAGGAGTGGGGAAAAGGTACCTGTTAGATACTGATCGTGATTTTTGATCCCATTGAAAATATCTCGTCCTATTGACACCCTAACCTCGAGTGTAACAGAGAAAGAAAGTAAGGAGTAACCTGCCCAAAAGGGACAGACACCAACAAATGCATAATCTTCTTAAAATTGTTACTTGGCACGCTATATTCAGAGACCTGCTTCTTTTGAACATTTAAACTTTGCATAGTTTTTGGAACTCGGTCTTCTTGAAAAAAGGCAATTAAGCACCAAAACAAATATGTATTTTGTTATGTGTATTGCACTATGACTTGTGTGGGGCCTATCGATTACAAAAATAAAATCTTCAGACTTTAAAGATAGTCACATTTTAGGGAATGATAATAATGGGAGGTAAAACTAAACTAAGAGCTAAAAAGTGTGTCCATTACAGCTAAAACAAAATGTGGCAGTGACCTCAGATTAAGTAACTCTGCTGCAAAGGAGACAAAAACACGAACCCCTTAATACTTTACATGCAACCAGGCAATGCGTAGTTTGAAAACAAATATTCTCTACAATTGAATAGTTTTTTCTGCTTTTAAGAGTAAGAAAATTTTATTTGAAACAACTTAAACCTGCATCTAAATACAGACAAAAATCATACAAAAGTGGAAACTGAAAGCAGGGTGTGGCAGCTGTGGTCCAATCTGCTCCGGAAGGCCAACCATGATGCTCAAATGTCCTTTATAACCTCTTCTAGCTCCTCCTTACAGTACATATGAAATTTCTTCCCAGGCTCTATGGTTGCAAGCTGTTAAGAGGAAGAAAAGGACGTTAGTGAGTGGGAGGGAAGAACAAGTAGATGATGGACTGAGCAGCTGCCGTGAGCGTGATTGATGTCAATGAAGAATCTCTGCAACTGCAATGCCCTAAATATAGACACCTGTAACCAGAATAGTTCATTGGATATCCTTTCACTTATCAGAAGGAGTAAATTCACTCTGCTCACTTTAACAGCTTTGGAAAACAGAGTTAAGGCTTTCCTATAAATGGAGGAATGCAAGTTCACTTCCTGAACGTGGCAGGCAGCTTAAAACAGAAATCATATACAGACTGTAAACATGTAGAGCAAATGGTAAGAGACTTTTGAAAAGGAAAATGCATACTGAAATAAAAAAGTTAAAAAAATCGGGATTACATCAGGATCCCCTCTAGCCTCATTAGTAGACCATGTAGGAGTCCAGCCACAGAGAAAAAAAAGAATTTGCTTAATGCATACACCGACCTGAGGACAGGGCAGAATTGCCACTTCTCAGCCCATAGTGTAAAAGGTGGAAGCAGTAGGGGTGATAAAGTAGGAAAAAAGAACCCCTCCGTAAAGAACGGGGCGGCTAAACAGCAGGTACATGACAGACTGAGGGAGCTTCAACTAGTTTTATTAACACAATCAAAAAAGTTTACAAATGATTAAATAACCCTTCATCCTATCCCTCTGCAAACATTAAAATAACACATACACTCATTCATCTCAACACACTTCAAAGCCTGTATTGATGCCAATTCTTCTACTCATTATGCAAGATTTTCCTTATAGGGGTGCTACCCCAGGACAGCCTTAAAATAAATGTAAAGCCAATCTTTTTTGCTTGGCTATACTTCTCCTTTGGGTCACAGGAAAACATTTACTAATGTGCTCCTGTGAACCAAAGCCAGCCAATAGCAGTCTAATGCCAGCTATCAGGGCAGAGTCGTGCTGCAGCCGAGAAGGATCCCAGCAATATTGTTGGGATCCTCTCTAGCTGCCAACTGCCTCTGTCCCTCTGGGAGCATCCAAGAGCCAGCCATGCCTGTACCCTCCCCAACCTGTAGCTCCAACCAGCGTTGGAAGATCAGAGAGGGGTGGGGTAATCCTTTCAGGAAGCAGTGGCTAACAGCCACTACCCTCTGCTGGGAGGTGAGGCCGTGAGCGGACTGATCAGTGGCCACATGGTCGGTCAGCTCTCAGTCTTAGAACCTGCGTGAGACAGTTGCAGCATTACAAAGATGCTAAAGCATCGGGGAGAGTATGAATGTGTATTATTTTCTTCACCCCCAACTTCTCCTTTAAGTACCCTTTCTTCACGCCGGAGGTAAAACCAAAAAAATATGTACTGTACAGTTAAGAATTTAGCAAACTATAAATGTTAAAAACTCAGTTTTGGTAAATTCTGGACAATTAAGCCACCTTACAATATCTCGCATGGGCTGTGGTGTTAAAACACTAGATAAAACATTTTTTAAACAGCACCCTGTAAAGAAAATGGTTAGGTTTTTTTAGGAGTGGAAGACCAGCTAGCAGGTGCTGGCAGCGGAACAGTTACAAATTCACTATTGAATTCACAGGCTGCACTTTATTTTTAATCTAGCAACAGTCGCTTTAAGACCTCTGCACACCTTTAGCCCCAAATATATTTTAAGGCCCCATTCACACCTATGCGTATTGTAATATGCGCGTCTGTCGCGCGACCGTCACACGTTTTTTTTTACCGCGATTCGCGGTAAAAAAGCCGCGCGATTCCAAAGGCTACTTGGCAGTATACTAATGGAAAACGCCCTACAAAACAGACCAATACGCAGCAAAAAACGCTTCGGGACCTTTTCATGCGTGGGCCGTTTTGTAGTGCGTTTGGGACGGGCGGAAATACGGACAGGTGGGAACGAGGCCATTGACTACAGTGCTATTTATTTTTTTGACCGTTTTGTAGAGCGTTCATCGAGCGTAGGACGCGCTACAAAACGGTCAGGTGTGAATGGGGCCTCACTGTCGCTGTTGGATATTTTATATAGAATGGAACAGAGGAATAGAAACAGCACAAGGAATGAAACTCCAAAAGGTCAAAGGAAAAAAAAGCCAGAACTGTGACAGGGATATCTTGCCACTGTAATCACCAAGAAGATTATGCAACAGGAAAAAATTACCAACAAATGATTTTACAACTGTTAGTTGCAGCAGGCTACATGAGAGGTTCTTGTTAGCAAACAATATACACTTAAACCCTTTTGCGAGGGGACGCAAACCAGCAGATTTCACCTAAAACAAAATGGATAGTTGGATTTTAATCTCATACGCTACTGAAAAAGTTCTGATACTGTACCTCAATGTTTATAGCATTCAATTTCTCTTCCATCACCTGTTTTAGAATAGTGAGCGATGATTTAATGGCTTCTTTTAGGGTCATTGACTGAAAAAAAACAAAAAAAATACAATCTCGCAGACATACTGAAGTACATGAAAATAAATGACCGACTGCTGCTGCCTGGAATACCTGCCTCAATTCACCTGCTGCAGCTTGGAACTCAGCCTTGCCTGGATGCAAACTTATGAGCTGAATGAGAAAAAAAATCTATCAAACTGCAAATAATTTATTGAAGATCAAAGGCACCAAGAGTGCAAACTATTTTCTTAACACATTTCACTTTGAAGATTGCTCATCTTTAAGCATTATTATTAAGCACTGTGCAATGCAAAATGCGTCAAGGCGTTAGCTTACACTTCTTGTGTCTTTGGTCATCAATAAACCCCACTAAATGCTGCAAGCATGTTTATGGACCTATAATTTAACCAAAAAAAAAAAATACTGCAATATACTATGTTGTTATTTATCAACACCTTATGCTAGGACATGACTCCTGCTACTTTGTTTCTCATCTCCCATGGCTACAAATGTAGCCTAGCAGACAAATCATTCTTTAAAAAATTTACTTGAATATAATGTAAAGCTGATTGGTTGCTGTGGGATTCCATGCCAATATTACCTAAAATGACTGCCCAATGCACGCATTTGATATGGTGAGATAAAACCTCAATTTAACTTAATGTAAAATGAGCCTGTCACCATACATTTTTCTTTTTAAACCCTCCTGCATGAAAAGATCAAGGTCTACCTGTTTGGTGGACAGCAAGTTGCTCTATTGAAGAGCTTAGGTCACCGAAGTAATAGCTTCACAGACACACATTTGATGCCTTGTCCCCCACTGTACTTCTATCCACCACATCCTATGTCACTTCCAAGACATAGCAGTGACTTAGGGGCATGCATTCGCTCACCGCTCTCCTCCCCGTACTATGGGACCGGGAGCAATGCAGATTACATCACTTCCGGTCCCATAGCTGTCAGTGTTAGACTGCTGAAACCCAGCAATAAGCTATTGAAGTGCGATCTGTAAAGGTGACACTAGGGGGTCTTTTGGACCCCCAGTATCACCTGAAAGAGTACCTGTAAGCCCCCCTATGTGATAGCAATTAGTTAGAAAAAAAAACCAACAATTTTTCAAAATGAATAAATGTAAAAATAAATTAATTTTTTTAAAAAGTCCCCTGCCCCCGCGCCTTCATGTAAACACGCGTCGGGTGCATCTACATATGAACGTGCGTCTACGATCGTGCTACACATGTTGGGTATCGCCGTGCACACCGGAGTGAGAGCAATAACTCTAGGGCCAATATTTACGCATATCTCTAAACTGATGACCTGTGGGGGCTTTTAAAGCACAGGGTACTGAATTTTGTCGCCGTTTCACGGACACGCACAATTATTAACCTGGGCATGTTTGGTATCTATTTACTCGTAACCTCATCTTTTAGATTTTATTAAAAAAGGGTAAATTCTTGTGTTTTGGGGCATTTAAGCGCATTTATCGTTAAATGTTGGGGTCTGATGAGTTGCGCTAATATCGTGCAACATAAAAATGTGCAACTGCCACCATTTTATTCTATAGGGTCTTGGCTTTCAGAAAATATATAATGTTTGGGGGTCTTAAGTAATTTTAAGGCCTAAAATGTGGATTACAACATGTACACAAAATCTGAAGAAAAAAAAAGGCCTAGGTCATGAAGGGGTTAATCTTACCTTATGATAAACCTCCTGTAGTGAGCTCTGAGCTCCTTCAGAAGCAGAGCCAATGGCTCGGGCATCACACTGAACAAACGTTCCAGAAGGATCCATGTGAAAACTGCAGAACAATAAAAGAGAGTAGTTAAGTGAAATAGAATGACAAGTATCCCAAGTTGTGGTAAACAGCATCCACATGGCAAACGGTTTTTGTAACACTTACAGCTGAGGTCCTTTCTCATCAGCACCACCGAAAAGAAGAGCAACTCCAAATGGGCGGCTCTAAAATAATAAGGGAAAACAGATTTGAAGCATTAAAAAAAAGTGTCTTCCAGACAACTGAGAGCATTGTAAATTCAAACAGTGACAAGACAGAAAAAAAGGTGATGTAGTCTCCTCTAAAGCACTTGCCATGGCTCCAGGGTCAGCATCCTCCTCTCCAAACTGTAGTGCTAGATTGGAGACTGCTTGTGTGACACTTTCTACAGTCATTGTCTCATTATAGGTAAACCAATGATTCTGGAATGACAAAAAGAAACACACACACACAATCTGTCAATGCTTCAAGAACTATGTAGAATCGTGATGAAACAAAAGGCGTTCTTTTGCTAACGCATCATTTGAACAATTCAAATACCTGTGTTTCAACTCGAGCTTTATCAATTAATGTCTTTGCATCTGCAATTAACCCACTCATAGCACAGCCTACAGGAAACATGAAAGTAAAAAGGAAAGGTTACAATTATATCAAGTCCCCACACACACCCTTTCCAAGTACCTTACAAAATTAGATATAAAAATGTAAATTAAGCCTCATTTACATAGACTTTCATTGAAGACATACCGTATTTTGCGGTCTATAAGATGCTCCGGACGATAGGACTCAGGGCTTCTGTGACAGAAATTCTGTGACAGAAGCTGCAGTTAGTGACCGCTGAGACAGGTGGCGCTGTCTCAGTATACACACAGAGCAGACGAAGAATGGCGTTCTTCGTCTGCTCAAGGGGCTCTATGGTGAGCTCCTATGGGGGACCACGGCGGGTCACGGTCCCCCAGAGGAGCGGGGGACCCTGAAAACCACGGCGGGTGTGGACACGATCGCCGCCTATCAATTTAATACAAGGAATCTAATTAGATCCCTTGTATTAAACGAGCAGCGGCACCCACTGTACATTCAGCTCTGCTCGTCAGGAGCAGGGCTGAATGTACAAAAATAAACTACTCGCCCGAAACTGCATGTCCCGGGCGTCGGGCGATAGGTATTCGCTCCATAAGACGCAGGCACATTTTCCCCCTCCTTTTGGGGGGAAAAAAAAGTGTGTCTTATGGAGCAAAAAATACGGTAATTTCAAGTACCCACAACATATTTCTATTACCTTTTCTTTTTTTATCAATTGAAATATAAAAAGTTCTGATGATATTACACATGGATTTGAGCATGCAACACGATGTATTTTCACTGGTAGAGCACACACATTCTATATATTTATATTGTGATAGTAGAAATTGCTGTTCTACAGTGTAACAGTGGGGAAGAAAGTAAGGAACAGGCCACACCAACTTTACCAAATTTTTTTTTTTTACAAAACTGAAAAATACAAGGTGAACGGACAACAGAGATATGTACTCTGAAGGGGGAAGCACTTGTATGCAAACAGTCAAGGCTAGCAAGGATCTGCTTCTGTGCTTGGCATGGCCAGACTACAATAGCCAAGTAAAGGGACTGGCAGAATTACCAGGTATTTTTGAGGAAAAGAAGAAAAACTTGAACAGCCTTACTATTACACAGATTGATGTAAAAGCAGACACTTATGAAATATGAATTTTAGGGTTAACAGTCTTTCAGACTTCACTGAAGTTCTTTTAGACATGCACTGCTCATTTGAACTATGTGATATTACACGGGGCACTTTAAAAAACAGACCTCGCATTAGAAAGCAAGCTCTGCTCATTAGATAGGGCTCCATCCCCCTTTTCAAATTGCTATATAATTAGTACAAAAATGTACCTGTGGCTTCCACCTACGGAGTCTAGACAAGGGTGATATCAATAGTCTTCTGGGAATGATGAGGATCCCAAACATCGTGAGAAGATGCTCCTGCACGGTGCTGGAGTTTCATCTCGTGAGATCTGCTCTACTTATTCCCCGAGAGCATCAAAGGAAGAATAGAGACTTCACCCCTGCAGTGTGAAAGACGAAGTATTTGTTCTAACTTTTTCACCCACAAGTACATTTTTGTACCACTATTTATACAGCAATTTAGAAAGGGAAAGGAAGCCTCTTTTAAACAGCAGGCGTTTAGGCAATAGTTGTCTCTGCCAATTGGTGGAAATGAAAGGTGGTCGCTCTTTCTGTCATGAGGGAGCTTTTCAGAAACTTTCACCCAGGGTTGTTTTTTCCACCGTTCCTGCAAGCAAAGAACTGTTTAATATATTTTAAAATGATTTTTCTAGGCAACTAAACATTTAGTCACCTATATGAGCATCTATCTCCACAATCTTCTCGATGCTGCTGGGCTCCATTAAAGGTGATGTGATCCTCTTCTCGACTGCAAGACATACTCCTTCTGAAGTTTGGATACCAATGGCTGTAGAGCCAAGCTGAAGAAAAAAAACAACAAAAAAGTACATCATAAAACAAATAAACTCACTGGTAATATGTTAAAACATAAAAGAGGTGTGTAGTGTGTGGTGTGTGTGTGTGTTTTGAAGAAAAAGAAGAAAAAAACATTATATAGAAAATATTTCCTAACATAGCACTTTAAAGCAGAAGACCGTCCTGGTTTTAACTCATATCAGCTAAAGACAATAAAATAAGGCTAAAATGGTCACGGGATCACCAAAACTGATAAAGACTAGTAAAACGTTACCTGGTGTAGCTTGGAATATATCCTATCTTTTTTCAACAGTCAAGATTGCTGGTAATGGAGATGCAAGTGTGGGTCCATGTTTTCGTGACACAGGTTAGGCCCCATAATGCCAGCAAAGCATCATTTTAATTTTTGTACAGCATACCTGAATATTGGTGCTGGCCTTGTATACTTAATTCACACCCAAGAAAGATTTTCTAACTTTTTAAAATTCTCAGTAAAGCCTGCCCTACTCTTCCCCTCTTCTCAGTGATAAGTGAGAAGGGAATAGTAAACTGTATGTGCACCACTTGAACTCACTAGTGGGTCACATAACAGTGATGACTCTCCGCACAACCCATGGTGGCAAATAATTTTCTCGCCTGTGTATATTCAGGCTAACAAAAAAAATAAAAATTACTTTATAGAGGCATTTATCTATAAAAAGCATCAGTGTCTTTCACTTGCCATGTGAAACTTTCCAACTCTAGACAAAGGGCAGGATTAACCCTTCCAATCCTTCCCTCATAGGAGCACCGCTTGGAGAAAAAACAAAACAAAAACAAACTTTATACATACCTTTTCTCCTGGTGTATTCAGTCTGGTTGTGACATGTCACAGGTCCTCTTTGCCTTCATTGCCAATTTATTAATTTTTCACTTGGGCCTGATCTCCTCAGACTTGATGGCTAAGGCCTGCCAACTTCTATAGGTCACTATTTAATGAGGCTACCATGGTGACCAGTAAAGGCTATCACACTGGATAGGTGGTTGGCAATCAGGGTAGCTTAGCCTTCAGGTCAGATCAGGTTAGGCCCGGATAACAAAGTGAAACTAAATCAAGAAAGGCTACGGATCAAGAGAGGCCATTTTGCTTGTAAGGTCTGCTCTTAAAAGGGGACCTTTACCCATATATTTAAAATAACAACACACCATTAAAAATGTTTAGTAATGACAATCTACAAAACACATACTTCTAGATAATTGTTGGCTTTGTATTCTTTGAATACCTTGTTTCTCTTTTCTTTCCTAGTCTTCTGACAGTGGCCATGTTAACTAAGGGCAGATTACTAGCTCTCCCTTTACCTTCTGGAACTCTGGCACATGTGACTAGGACATGTGACCATGCACATCATCTCAGGGGATGAAAATGCCTTTTATCTCTCTCTCATGAGATTACAGATTAGATTTCCCAGCAATGTTCTGCTGATGGAAACTTCCCAGGATGCAACGCTTGGGCACATACATAGTTTGTGATCCCTGAACTGCAAAAGAATGTAATGTAATGTGTTGCCATGAGAAGGCATGAATAAAGTGTACACTTTGCACACTCCAAATAAAGTGAATAATAAGAAAAAAATACACGTAACAATGTATGCACTGTGGTTCACCACTGCCACTGGCTAGTGTGAAGGAGCCCTTACTTTTAGGGTAATTCTGTCTTCTGTGACAGCACAGTTATACGTGAAAAGTGCTGTCAAAATTACTTGAACAAGAACAAAAGGCTTTATTAAGCTCAATTGAACACTCAGTCTAAATCGGCTAAGTTCATTCCAACTACAATTAAGAAGTGGTCAGTGTTGGGTTTCATTGTGTTGCAGTGCTATTTTAAAGCCTTGTAGTAAATCTGTCATCACAATATGTCTCACTGCTACTGTTTATCATTGTCTTGCTGTGCAATGGAATTGATAAGTCTCCCTTTTTGATTTGATGCACCTGGAATGTATTTGACCGCAACTTCAGTTGGGCTTTAGCTGACAGCTCAGGACGGCTTTATAACACGTTTGCACAGTGAATAGCAGTGCAAGCGACGCTTGCAGAACATTACTGCCACTACATGGAGCCAGTGAACATAAGACATTCTTACACTTCTCTGTTTGCAGAGAGCAGGCAGGACAGGTCAGCATACATTACAGGCTGACAATCTGCACCAATGGGAAGAAAACACAGAAGTAAGGTTGAGATATTATAGAAATGTAAAATGACTGTCACAAAAAAAAAAAGGGGGATTGTAAACAAGTAATCGGTGCCTAAACATAGCAGCAACAAATAGCAGTCCCCATTGCTACAGCTGAACCTCAGGCTGTTTTGGACAAAGCTCTGACACTTTCTGGCAGTGTTAGAACATACAAGTGTATGAATTGGCCCATCACTATAATGGCCAGCATCACCAGCAAATAGGAATATGCATTAGGTAGGATGAGACTGGCAAACCTGAAAAGCACCAGAAAGTGACGCAGCTTTTGCCCAATTACAGTAGGCCAGGATTCGGCTACAGCGAAGCGAACTGCAGGCTGAGTGGAAATTCAGATTCCTTTAAATATACAGTTGTTAACCACCTCCCGTCCACCGATCGTGGAAAGACGGCCGGACGGGAGTCTCTTGGATGCGGATGGGCGTCTTTAGATGTCCTTCGTGCCCCCTGGCACGCACGAACGGGAAACCGCCTCGATTTTAAACGGCCAGCGATGGCCGTCTACATACAAGCGGTCCGGCGTCTGTAAAGACGCCCGATCGCTTGTATGATACAAGTGAGGATGCGCCCCCCTCCTTACCTCTGGTCACCGTCGATGTCCCTGCAATCCCGAGCATCCATCCGGTCCAGGCGATGTCTCTCTGTAAACTGTGCAACGGGAACGGAGGGAGATCGGGACCCGATCTCCCTCCGCTCTCCTCCTGGTCTCTGAATGCAGGAAATGCATTCCTCTGTCACTCTCCAGTACAGAAACCGGAGAGAAGCTGATGAAGCAGATCTGTGCTTCATCAGCTTCTCTGGGGGTCCCTAGGCGACATTAGGAGTCTTAGAGACCCCTGATGTCTCCATAAAGGGGACCTGTCACTGTAATTTGTTATCACATAGAGTACTTCTTAGCACCCTATGTGATAACAATAAAGTTAAGTGTAAAAAAAAGTAAAAAATAAATAACACAAAACACACAAGACAAAAAAAACAAAAACACAAAAAATGTTTTAAAGTCCCCTACATAGATGCACAAAAATGTGCCTACACGCAAAAACGACGATTGCTCCAATTACATATCGCTGTGAACGTCGCAATGAGAGCAATAATTCTAGGGCCATCAATCACTGATAACACTAAACTGATGTGCGGTAAAATCTTTTAAAGCGTCGCCTCCGACCAATTTTGGCTATGGTGTTTTTTTTGTGATTTCGCGGGCAATTTTTAGGCTTGACATGTTTGGTGTATTTACCCGACGTCACCCCGACTTTTATATTTTACCAAAAAATTGGGCAAAAATAAATGTTTACTAAAATAATAAAGGGAAAACCATTTATTTTTTTTAAATATTCAGTACTTTTTTGTTATATAGTAAAAAATAAAAACCCCAGTGGTGATTAAATACCACCAAAAGAAAGCTCTATCTGTCCCCAATGGTATAAAATGCATCTCAGTATAGCGTTGCATGACGGAATAAGCGTCAACCAAAGTACCGCAGCGCTGAATACTGAAAAATGGCCGGGACAGGAAGGGGGTTTAAAACCCCGGTCAGCAAGTGGTTAAAGCTACATGTATGGTAAGCTGTGAGTGCTGCAAAATGAACAAGTAAAACATAAGAGAGATTTCTCCATACCTGCTATCGTGGGGACAACCTTTTCACCAGTCAAAGTGAGGGGAACTCTCCAACAGCAACACCAAAGTAAAATTCCAGGAATAATCTTTTTGCAAACCTATATTTGTCCAGCTTGGACCACTGTGGTAGGCCGTGATCTTCTGGGTGCTGCTCCAGCAGATTCCCCTCTGCACACTAAGTGCAGGGAGTACCTCGCTCGACGCTGCCGCCATTTAGAGAAAACGTTGAGGGGAATTTACCAAAACTGGCGCAGACACAATCTGGAGCAGCTGTGCATGGCAACCAATCAGCTTCCCTCTTTCATTTTCAAAGCTTAATGGAACAAATTGAAAAGGTAAGCTGATTGGTTGCCATGCACAGCTGCTCCAGTTTTGATACATTTCCCCCCTTGCATTTTTTATTCAGTGAATACAAGGGGTGGCATTTATCAAAACAAGAACAAAGAAAATCTGGAGCAGATGACCATGGCAACCAATCAGCTTCTCTGTTTCATTTTCAGAGCCTAACTGAAGGAGCTAAATGAGAGAAGCTAAGTGGTTGCCATGGGCAACTGCTCCAGATTCGGTCTGCTCCAGTTTTGATAAATTCCCCTCACGGTGTTCAATGTTTAGACCCTCCTCTCCACCACGTCCAATCAGAGAACACCTTGTATTTACTGAAACAAAATACAAGGCGTTCTCTGAAAGGTTGCGGTGCCAAATAAATGACTCCTTGTGCGCAGAGTGAAGTGTGAAAGCCCCTGGAGTCTTAGCCGCAAGATCACGGCTATCACTGCATGCAGTGCTGACTACTACAGTGATTTTCAACATCCCCAGAGATCTTCCAGATATCAGAAATTGATACTTCATCAAGCCAAGCTGGAACAATGTAAGTATCCATAAAAGATCATTATTGGAGTTCCGCTTCAAGTAATGTAGGCAAAAGGCTAAAACCCCCGTCAGATTTTTATTGTTGTTGGGTTCCCTGTTGCAGTTTTCCCCTCATTCCCTGCCTGGTAAAACCATGGCCCTTAAAGCAGTAAGCAAGGGCAAAAATCTTTTTAACGGAGCCCCAGATAGCAGTAAATCCTGAGGGAGATTTTTTTACTTTCCCACTCTATCCAGAAGTAAAAAAAAAATTAAAGTTTTGGCTAAAGATAACTAAAAGCATAAGAAATTGGACAAATATATATGAAACGTGTACTGTCAAAGAAAACAGGAAAAAGTTCCATGATCTTTGAAACAGCAACATGTGAATCAGTACTAATAAAGCACAGACAGAAATCCCCTTCTATCGGGTGAAGCATGTGTGTTACGTTCACTTGTAAAACAAAGTTTCACTTTCAGTTCAGGAATAAAGCAATGGCTGAAGGCCCTATTACCTTTATCGCTTCAATAGCATATTCCACTTGAAAGAGCCTGCCTTCTGGAGAGAATGTATTCACCCCCCTAAAGAAAACAAACAAAAAGAGTGTAAACGAAGGACATCATTGTCAGCCAAATCAAAGAGATGAAGCAAAATGAAACGGCAGCCATTGACAATGACACTGCAGGAAAACTAGGGAAATGATTCTGCTGTAATCCACTGCACTTCTACACTCACATCTAATGGGTACTATGTACTAATGCACCTGCCCTGGAATTCCTAAAGAGTGCCTACTAGAATTATGTGCTGCATCTGAACGATAAATGTCGGTTATAAACGGGTACCACAGATTTGGCGCAAGCTCTGCCATTTGTGGTGTGGAGATGCACTGTGGTCGGAGGGTCCATACTGGGCACCCCCACCCTCAGTGCAGCTCACCACCTCCCAAGGCTGATGCACCTGTCATACAGTGGTGAGCCAGAGGTGTTTTAGGCCTGGTTCACAACTATGCCTTGTTCAGCAGTAGAAAAAGCGCTTTAAAACGCCTAACACCCATGATTTTCAATGGCCCCTGTTTACACCTGAGCAGCAAAACGCCAAACGCAGACAGAAAGTGCATCAGCTTTCTTTGGCAGTTTCAAGCTAATTTTGCTCCCATAGACTAAAATGGAAACGGGCGGCAGAATCACGCTGCACATTTTGGTGCAAGGTTTTTATGCGCATTCGTCCACTGACCTTAATGTTTCTTAAGCTGCCAGGCAAAACGCACGTAAAAAAAACAAATGATGCCGCCTTGGTGGGAACCAGACCTTACTAATGAATGTGCAAAGCCAGATGGGGAACTAGTCCCTCAGCTTCCCTATCGAGTCAATCTCCCTTGGCAGTTGGTGGATTCCATTGCCAACAGACAGCCTGCTATTGGATATGGAATCTGCCCATTGACAATCACTAGCAGGACGAACCTAATGAACTAGCCCCTTGGCATTTCCATCAGGCTCCGACCACTTGCAGATGGCCACACACCAATATTTTTTTTTCTCAAACGCTTGATTTACCCATGTAAGCTAACAGCATGGATGGTGTTGCGCCGCCGCACTGACTATCGTATTCTGACAGCAGCAGGGGTGCCAACTGGCTGTAGCCACTGTTTGGCTGAGACTTTTCAAAACTTGATTGAAAAGCAGGACTTCAGCAATGTATTCCCAGTGTTTAGTCGCTTGCCCGTACCCCTTACCCCTCGCTCATTTGACAGTCTTTTTGCCCTGGCTTACACTAAGCCCCGATTCACAGCGCAGCAATTTCAATGATGCCCGTTCACACCTGAACATTGTGACCCAGCGTCGGGCTCAATCGGGCCCCATAGCCTTTAATAGACGCCCCTGAAAAATTCACATAACCTGCTATATTGCACCCAGGTAACTAGCTTACCCATTGGCTAAAACAAAAACACTGAAGCCTGAAAAATTTACACATACATGCACATCATCATTCTCAAGTGTGAATGGGCACTAAGGCTTGACTCTTGGTATACCAAGCCATTCAAGCTGTGTACCCTTCCTCTGCTTTTATCAGGGCACATGTGTTAATCCCTCTCAAAAACCGATTCCATAGGTACCAGCCTGTGTCAGCGATCTGCATACATCTTACAAGGCAGGCATTTGTATGCTTACAGAAGCCCAATGATTTTTGTCATGAATCCATCCTATAACATGGCGTGTCCGGACAATGACGCCGATTATCACTCACCTGTCATACTCGGAGCGTGTGAGAAACATGTCGCTACGGTACTCTCAACCCGATCACGTCTACAGATTGCACGTCTGCTAAGTCACGGGGGCCTAGCTCTACCGGCACCGGAGGTGTGTACAAAGCGGACGTGATGTCACAAAGGGGAGGAGCTGCTTGTGAAACATCATGTGACATCAGAAAAGCGGGCGAATGGTCGGTTTGTGCCAATGCAGTCTACTCCTTATGGTTGTCTCAGGGACGATATTCTGTGCTGTGTGCCGAGGCTCTCCGGCCTCCTGCGTTGGCAACACAATATGTGTATTATAACGTGGAACGTCAAGAGCGTAGTTTCTGTTGAGGAAGCCAAATTATATTCATTTGAGGCCATACAGTGCGTAAAAACTCACCGCAATGCATTGCATTCACGTGCACAAATGGCTGCTAGTGTGCCTGTGTCCCGTGCTCTGTCGAGAACACTGACCCGGTCGGATTTGCCGACCTTAGCATCTGTGTGTGCGCACAGTCTTGAATTAACGAGGAAATAGGCATTTATTTACTCGGTATTAATTTGTCATTGTGACCGTTAATAATATGCCATCCATGACGACAAATGATGGATGGCATTTTATTCACAATTAACATCCTAAGAAATGACATTATTATGCATGTGCATAATGGCATCCATCATTTACTGCCATGGATGGCATATTATTAATGGTCACAATTAACTTTTAAGACAAAATGCTTTGTAAATAAATGCCTGTTTCCTCGTTAATCCCGGTCTGTGCGCAGATGCTGAAGTCAGAAAAAATCCAACGGGGTCAGCATTCACGACAGAACACACCGGCACAGTGTCAATGCACTCAATGGAGCCGCATTGCACTCTTTTTTTTCTTTTTCTTTGGTAAGAACTTTATTGAAATGTCATAAGTGACATTTCATTAGAGTGGAACTTAACCCAAGTCTTTAACAACAAACACGCCTTTAGAAATGTTTAGTAATGGCAACCTACAAACACATACTTCTAGATCCTTGGTTCTCAACTGGTGGTTCGCAACCCAAATGTGGGTCGCGGCCCTGTGTTCAGTGGGTCGCTGCATGCCTTCCACTTTTCTAGTGGTGAAGCTCCTCTGCTTTCCTGTAGTGCAGCACTGTCAGCTCTCATTCAAAATATGATGCCCGGTGCTGAGTGTCAGCTTGAGGTGGGATGGGCTTATGGCCGTGAGGGAGGTCCATTCATACATGCATTGCTTACAGCTCCCTCACGTGTCCTGTAGAGGTGCCTGGACCTGAGTGACATCACATTCTTCCTCCTGGCACCTCTAAAGGGCGCAGAAGGGAGCTGTACAAGTAATGCACATATGGATGGAGCTCCATTACATCACAGCAGCCCACACTGGACCCCAGGCTGATGATCCACTCCAGTTCTCGTAAGGTACGGAGACTGGGTGGACCTTAAAAAAAAAAAATGTAAAACATTTTTGGTGTGTGAGATTGTGTCTGTGGTTGTGTATGTATGTCAGTGTTTTGAGGGCCCGTTCACACTAGTACAGTGCAATAATCACATAGTACTGTGTGATTAACACACTGTACCACGCAATCGCACCTACCGTTTGTTTTGGTGTTGGAGGTGTGTTGTGTTACCATTCATTCGAATGGTACCCCATATGCACCTTCCACCCACAGTTCATATGTCCGCACCAGAATGCGCAGTGCCCTAAAGCCGTGCATTCCATTGCAGTGCAACTTGGGTCGCGAATCAATGGCCAAGGACAAATGTGGGTCCTGAGGTTACACAGGTTGAGAACCACTTTTTTTTTTTTTTTTCGAAGCCCGTGGACGTGCATCAAAACAAACTTCCCCCTGTGAACAAAAAAAAGTGCAACCGTGAAATCACAGCACACAAAAACGTGCACAAGGGTGCAAGGTCCTTCAAAAGAAGGGACCTACTTTCCCGACCCCCCGGGGCGCAAGGCTCCTGACAGGGTGGGATGGGCTTATGGCCGTGAGGGAGGTCCATTCATACATGCATTGCTTACAGCTCCCTTACGTGTCCTGTAGAGGTGCCTGGACCTGAGTGACATCACATTCTTTCTCCTGGCACCTCTACAGGGCGCACCACCAACCCGAAGGTCGGTGGACCATTTCCGTCGGGGACCTGCCGAAACAGGTCCCACACAGTACTAGGCAGGGGGGATCTCCCGAAGAGAAACCCCCCTCCTGGGTGGGAGGAGACAGAGAACCCCGTAGGAGGCACAGAATCTCCTCCAGCATCAGGAATAGGCCCCGAAGAAACCTGCACCTTCAGCAATCTGTGGGTCAAAAAGCTTTAAAAAAAAGCCAATCGTGCATAGAGTGCATAAATAATACTAAAGTGCCAGTGCACCACGCTGACAGGCCTTAGGGGCCGAGTGCAAAAAAATTGCCTCGGACTAGCCATAAGGCCTGTCCAAGAGGCGATGTGCAGAAAATGCAAGGTGGTGTGTGACCAAGTGATCAGTGAGTCAATGTGGGGTCCCACACCCAAGTGACTTCCTGAGCACCATGGGACGCCACCCCCAGGGGGCACAACACCACGGGCTTCTGCCGCCCCCAACTCTCTAGCCTCGACCAAGCTTCGTATCCATTCCAATCAGGAGATAGTTCACCTTCAGAGATCCCTCCGCCGGAGCCCACCCATTAACTAGGGTCGAAAGCTCCGAGGGCCTGGAACCTCATCCGGCTCCCTACCAATTACGCCAGGAATCTACTAGGCCGTCCATCTACCCCACACAGGTGACAGCGGCCATTCAATTCCCGACAACTGATAAGAACAGATACTACACTTGATCTTAGCCAAAAGGCCGAGAAGCGATAGCGACAGGTTGAGAACCACTGCTCTAGATAATTGCAGGCTTTGTATTCTTTGTATACTTTATTTCTCTTTTTCTTCCCCAGTCTTCTGACAGAGGCCATGTTAACTAAGGGCAGATTACAAGCTCTCCTATTACTTCCTTTATTTCTGGCATGTGACCATGCACATCATCTTCGGGGAGGAAAATGCCTTTCCCTGAGATCTCGTTAGATTACAGATGAGATTTCCCACCAATGCTTTGCTGATGTAACCTTCCCAGTATGCAATGCTTTGGCACATAACATCATTTGTGCCAGAACTGGACCAGAAAGTAGATGAACTGTATTTGTAAGTAAATGAAAAACACGTTTATTTAACTAATGAATGTAAGATGATTTGAAATCGGCATTCAGAGGTGCATGCTGCTGTGATTTTTAGAAGAAGGGGTAAAGATCCGCTTTAAGTTCTACGGGCTCACAAAGGTGCGATGCGGTTGTACGGTGTGTCACTGCAGTGTGCTTAAAAAAGTTCTGGATGCCGTCGTTTTTTTTTTTTTTCTTTCTTCAAGTGTACGCCATCGTGCAGTGGTTTGAACGGTCACCATCCATGACAAGGCGAATTGCCTTGTCTTGCATTGGGGCTGCACGGGAAAAGACAGCCAGTGCAGCCTGAGTGCAGATAGTGTAAACGAGCCCTTACATACTGTTTCATGAGCGTTGTTTTGCATTCTAACAATAAAGTTCTAACAAAAAATTGAAAAAGAGGAACTTCAGGATTTTCAAATGTTAACCCTTGCAGTGGGGCTACCCCTGCACTGCAAGGGTTAACTGCTCATTTTTGTCTAGGGGGTGCAAATAAAGAAAATATACTTAACTGTTCCTTGATCACGCCTGGCTGCATGGCTGGTCCCCGCAGCCTCTACTCCCTGGGTTCCAGCAGTCTAAGCCCAGATGACGTCATCCCGTCTATGCAAGGTCAATTCACTTGCATTAGACGTGAGGATGCTGCGGGACATTCCACAGCCGGAGGGGGAGATTGGAGAGCAGTCAGTTCTGCAGGATTGCGGATCCGGTGAGTATATCTTCTTTATTCCATTCCTTAGACCAAAATGAGCAGTTAACCCTGGGAGTGCAAGGGTAGCCCCACTGCAAGGGTTAACTTTTGAAAATCCTGGAGATCTGCTTTAATGTCATCTGTTGTTCATTCTGAGGGCCCATTCACACCTAATGCATTGGCACTGCCCTGCCAGTTTTTTTCCAGAGCAGTCGCAAAGCAAGACAATGCAATTTGCTTGGTTCCAGATGGGCTCAGTTCACACACTGTGTTTCAGTGGTTTGTGGTGAAAATTTTTGAACACAACTCGCTGCAACACACATCTCCTCGGCGTTGTGGTGTGAATGCCCTCGCAGTGACCTATGTTGATGTGGTGCGGAAAAGCGCAGGTCACTTCACATGGTATGAACGAGCCCTTATATTTAGGTGACAAGTAGTGCAACTTACAGTATATGTGTGTCACTTCACAATGCTGCAGGAGTTTCATAGTTACATAGTATTTGAGGTTGAAAAAAGACATAAGTCCATCACGTCCAACCTATTGCGTGTATGCAGTTATGTTTGAGCAGGTGTGTGCATGTATATGAGTCCATTAGGGTTATTCACAAAAGGGTGAAGAGTTGGAAGAAGGCAGGGGAAGTGAACAATCTAGGACAACATAGCTGATTTGGAAAAATTCACCTGTTCAACTCACTTTCCAGTTCAGCTATGTTGTCCTAGATTGTTCCCTTCTCCTAACTCTTCACCCTTTTGTGAATAACCCTGCATGTGTGATTTTGCTCTTAAGAGTACTTCCCAGATAGCAAGTAATTGAGCTGCAAGTTTGAAAATGACTTGCTAAACTATTGCAGACTTGCCAAGCTTCACAATTCCGTTGCACAATTACAGCAAGTCTGCATTGCAAGTCTCCAGATCAACGTGCTTTGCAGAAGTGCTGTACACTAGCAAGAGCAGAGCTCTTGCTAACACCTGCAGGACTCTTGCTGTAGACTTGCCAAACAAATTTGCTACAAATTAAAAAAGTGTCAACTAGAACTTGTGCTGCGAGTGTTCTGCAAGTCTGCAACTTGCCAGGAATGTGTGCAGCAAGTTAACAAGAATTACAATTTAACCTCGGCAAGGTATCCTTGCTATTTGGGTTGTACCCCTGAATGTTATGGTCTCCAAGGTAATCGTCCAGGAGTTTCTTGAATGATTCCACACTCTTCGATGTAATAACTTCCTGCGGCAGCGAGTTCCAGACCCTATTCGTTCTAACTGTGAAGCCCCGTGTGTA